AGAAAATGAAATAAATAATATGAAGCTTATTGCTTTAAAAATAACTTTTTTTTAGATTAAACTGTGTGTGTTACATTTTTAGGGGGTTAAGTTGTTCATTGGTTTTTATATATATGGTGGCTCCACCAGCTTGATTCATTAAAAAAAAAATAGGATTTTATGCTCGTCTTTGTAAAAGGTTAGATTTTTTTTTATTTTGAATTGAAAAAATAGAAAAACTTAGATTTCCTTGGCTTTCAAAATTTATAAAATCTTTAATATGACTCCTGACATTTTTTTCTATTTAATGTTGCCGTGGTAAAAGTGTCTCTTTGAATTAAAAGGCTGCAGACCTCTGCTTTAACCTAAAAGACGGTGAAAAAGTTTGCAAGTTTTGATAAGAGAACTGAGAGGACAGGAAACTATTAGAAGACCTCTGAAAAGTGTATTGAATAATTCAACAGGCTTGTCAACACACCTTCCAGACGCTTAGCCGGGGTGCCCGAGGAATGTCAGACATCAAAACTCTATAAATAGTCTGCTTCATATGAATGGGTCTTTGTAAAGGCTCTGGTTGGTACACGTGGTGGCTTAACCAGTTAAATGACATGCCATGTAAAGGGATGTACTCTGGATTTTTAGAGAAGCATGAATTGAATTTTGGATGAAAAGCAGATGTGTAAATTATGAAAAAGTAAACAAATCAAATCAAACGACAAAATAACAATTTTTTTAAAATGAAGAAATATTCCCATTGTAATGGAAAACGCCATAGATCCACTCATATCAGCTTCCACTTACTCTCATTAAATAAGATTACAGCAAAACTCTCCCCATCGGAAAAAACCAGCAGATGATAAAGGCTTCCTCACAGTGACAGAAAACCAGGAACAATTTAGATCTCAGAAATTCAGTTTAGGTCCAACAGGCTTTATTTATAATCACCAATCAACTGTAGAGAAATCATATCTATAAAAAAGATTGGAGCCATTGTGTGAACCCACCAACCAGAGGCTAACAACCAATAGCAGCTATGCCACAACAGTTCCTGCAGCTGCTTCCCACAAAGCTGCATTGAATTCTCTTCGCTGGAAGGTTTTTTTCCCCATTAAGCACCTGCAGGAAGAGTTAATCTTGTAGAGCAGGAGGCCAAAGCCGACATTTTTTTCATTGCATGATAGGAAAACATTCATCTTTGTTGTTTTTTATTTGATATGAAAATGAAAATGTTTAGGATTTTTCTTACTATTAGAAAATACTTTTCAAAACCGGATCTACCGCCAATAAGTGCCAAGTGGAGTTCAGTCATTTTAAATTGAACTCCCCAAATGCAGCGTCATTCATTATTTATGCTTCCTGTTTTCATTTTCCAGATCTAGTCTCCATGATACTTTTATTCTGTTGTTGGGCTTTAAACATCAAACGCTTCAATTCCTTTAAGACACTTCAGAAGGTCTTCCCTTCCTACACTCTGAAGGACATTTGTGAATCATGAGTTTCACTTTTCACTTATCTTCTCAACTCTCTTATAAACACCCTCTTCATGTCAACCGTCCTCATCTCTCCTCTAATTCACTATCTGCTTGCTGACTCAGTGTCTTGCTGTTCGTTCCACAGCAAAGATAAAAGCCTAGTGTATGTCCACCTTTTTTGAAGGGCAACTCGCCCACACATCACAGATGCCAATATAGCCCAACCATTAGTGCAAGTCATTAATATAAAACAGAACAAAATAATACATCGGAGGCCATGACATCACACTGCATTACATCGGGAAGACGTTTTAAAGAGGATTTATCTGTGTTTTAGTTGTTGTTATAGATGAACTTGTTATGTATCCATTTCAGTTTCTGTTCTATTTTCTTTTTGCCATTTCCCTTTTTTTCCAGATTTCGCTTGCCCTTTTAAATCACTAAAGAACCATTAGAAATTATAATCTCATAGTTTAAATGTTATAAAGTACAAAATCATTGGATATTGATCTAAAAATTGGTATCTCTCAAACAGAGATGCAGAAAGATGCATCGTCCAATTTTCCGCAGTTAATACTTAGAACCTAACAATGAAGACGACATGCTCAGGTTAAGGACTGCTCTCACATAAAATGTATTTAGGAGTTTTCGCTCAACCACCCCCATGTTTACATCTTGCTGGGTATTACAAATCAGCAGAGATGATGTGAATTAGCTTCAGATTCCCACAAAAAATGTGGATAAAAACAATAAATGAAAAACGGGACTTAAATATCAAACTTTCAAGCCTTTTGGGATGGGTGGTTCTGCAGGTTTAAAAACACAGTTTCCCCCTCCCTCTACTGATGTTCTGACTAACTAGTAGATTTTTAGTCATATGCAGATTATGCTTGAACTGTATGTTTTCGATCCCTCCATCCACCCATCTTCTTTCACGGTGCTGGTGCCTATGTCCAGCTGTCCCCGGGCGAGAGGCGGGGAGTCAAACAACTATTCATGAACACACACTCACACCTAAGGAGAATTTAGAGAAGCCAATTAACAGTCATGTTTATGGAGTGTGGGAGGAATCTGGAGTACCCGGAGAGAACCCACGCATGCACAGGGAGAACATGTAAATTCCATGCAGAAAGGCCGGGAATTGAACCTGGAAGCAGTGCTACCCACTGCGCCACTGAGCAGCCCCTAATGTATGTTTTTTAAAGCTGAAATCTGAGACCTACTGTGTTTACAGATGGCTTCCTTCACTCCAAACAACACCCTGTTGTCAGTGGAGTCCAATCGGTGTGTGCATATAGATCTACAAAAACAACACTTCCCCAAACCACTTGGAACTTCGCCCTCACCAGCTTTGAATGGAAAAAAAGCTGTCTGGATGAGGGGGACTGTAATTTTTTCCTTTTTTTTCTGGGGGGTGGGGTTACCATGTCCTGAATAACAGAGAACCTTAACCAGCAACCCCTCTGCATATTTACATTATGCTGAGTAATACATTAGCTGGAGATGCAAGCTCAGTCTGGCTGCAGCTTTAGTGTTTTTATTATTTTGAACATGGATGAACATGCTTGTTTTGTATTTTGTTTTACTGTAATAAAAAAAAAAGTAGTAAAAAATAAAAATAAAAATCAATGAAAGAATAAAAACCAAAGCCCCTCCCCCATCTCATCTGCAATATCCCTGTAGTCCACAGCTCTGACAAAGGGTCCCTTTCGCAGACAAACATAGTCTCTACCAAAACGATAACAGAAAGCAAGAGAAACCACAGGAATGCTCAGAAAAATACCCAGTCAGCAGGAAATTTAAAAATGTCTGCTTCCAATGAAATATTTAAACCTATTAATAACACCATACACATGTTTTCTGCTTTCTGTCCGTTTCTGGGAGAAAAATACACAATGATGTGCCTATAAACTGCTTATGATTCCTATTGTTTTCACTTATAAAAGCTGCCAAATAAGCTGTTTGTTTTAGACGAGACGAAACTCGTCTTCTTAATCTCTGCTTTAGTTTCAGTGAAACCAGTCTTTGTATATCAAAGCTTTATACTAACGCCTTATTTTTAAACTCAAAAGTACGAAATAATTCATGAGGAAGCCAAGAAAACGCTCGCCTGGCACCACGAAACCCTCACACGATGACAGGGCATTATCGCTACCTTGAAATTGCTGGAGTTGATCCATCCCGTTAGCTCGTCTATGGTTTTATCAAGCCGGGGTTTATCCTGCTCCACGTCCGGAGAGCGATGTGGGTCGTTCAGGTAGTCGATGAGGTCCTGGCCAACCTGCAGTCTGCGTGTCACATCCTTCTGCAGTACCTGCTGGTAAAAATAGTCCATGTTGTCATGATCCTCCATTGGGCACCCAGTGCCGAGCGGCCAGCTAGTTCAGCTGGGCCAAAGATCGAAGACAACGGTCCTAGGGATGGGGTGTAGTGAAACTGAAAAGGGCTGAAGAAACTTGAAGTCCGGATGGTTTTAAAATCAGGTTTGATCATCAATATTTGATCGTTTAAGAAGAAGAAGAAAAAAAGATTATTTTGGCACACACATCTTCTCTAATAAACCAACAATTTCACTTGATACGTTTCGTTAAAGTTCCCGTTTGTTGTTTCAACGACCGATTTTCCTTTAAAAATACTAAACACTCAGCAAAACTTAATTTAATGTAAAACCGCAATGGTTACTCCGCATACAGGCATAACGACACGCCAAAAGTCTTATTTCACTATCTGTTATGCTAACAAAGTAGCATCTAGCTAGTTAGCACCCATACAAATAGCATTATTTATGCTAGCTCAGCCCGCTAACGGCCTATCGCTGGACGCTGCTACGCTGTTCTAGTTCATGGCCACTGCCACCAAAGTCTGTTAACCGGTGAATTAGTCTACATGGAAGACTCGGTAAACTTCTTCAACTTCAAAAACAGATCCCCTCCCACGTTAAAGGGTCCTATTTTAGTCCAGAAGTGCAGAAATTGTTGGTCGGAACCCGCTGAGGGGCACTTGGAGGCTGAATGATGCCGGGGACTGCAGTTTACTATGCGGCGAGACCACCAATCCTTGATCACCGCACAGCTGGCCAACACAATGCCTGATGTAAAGTCATTTCTAAATAAATAAATAAAAAAGTGGAATCTAAAAGATAACTTACATTTGCTTAAATGAGAAAAATGGATAGTAAAAGAACACATTTCGTTTAAAAAATATATTTTTGCATTTTTTTATTCGGATAATTTAACATCCCTTTTATGTAGGCGTGTCTTTTCTTAACAGCATGGCTCTTTGGTGACATCTAGAGGCGGAACTGTCTTAAACGAACATGGATGAATTTCAATGGAATCATACTTCAGTCCTGGCAAATTTCCAATATTTCCTAGTTCAAATTTCCACTGTTCTCTTTCCGTTTTAAACAATTTAAAATATAAAGAACTTTTCTATAAAATAATTACATAATGGAGACTTAATCACACTTGCAGAAGATTCTCAGGTGAAAAAAAATTATATAAATTTTTAGATTGTGTATTAAAGGTTGCATTAAAGAGACAACAATTGTTTACTCTTAGTCATCTTTATTTATTCATCTATTTTTTCCACGTATTTCTTGTTTTTCTTCAACAAAAACAGATAAAACTGTCAGAGGACATTAGTATAACAACCAGTCATGTCAGCTATGTATCCATCTAAATCTTCATCTTCCTGTTGTTAATCCTTGATCCTATCCACTGCCCTGCCTCTCTCCAAAGCCTTTAAGCACTTGGCACTAAACAGCATTTACCAGTTTATATTGCAAGCTGGTTTTATTTAGTTGGTAAATTTCTAAGTGGCTGGATTTTATATCAACCATGGGGACATAATTATTAGATCATGTTGATCTTAAGGCATACTAAGAAAATTAAACCAGTAATTTTATGACTTTTCACCAATCAAATAACTTTCCTAGTTATTGAATCATCTATCGTGACAGTAGGAAATATGTGGTAAATTTAATAAATTAACCTGATAAATTTCTTTAGAGGTATAGGATTCTATTAATAATAAATATGTATCTCCTGCTTAGCGCTGTAAACAGCTGAAATGGAAAGATATAAGCCAATTTGTAACATTTTAAAACAAAGATAAAGTGACGGTTACATAGAACTATGCTAGAGAGACTTTCAAATAAATACATTTATGTGATTGTCAAAAACTTTAGGTCTCTTCACGTCCATTCTTATATTCAATCTTTTAGATCTACGGATGTTAATTTTTCACTTTTGAAGCAATTCCAACGGCCAGCGCACCTTTAACTATATCCAGATACACACAGCAATAAATCTGAATACTGGACATCTCAGTCCCCTCAACTGTACAACACAGCTGTTTACGTGTAACAAACTATTTAGACTCACTGTGAATCTGTTCAGACAATGGGGACTGGAAACTTTCTGATGTAAACAGGTTAGCCTCTAGTGCTAACCTAATTTCTGAATGTAAACAAATGCTTCAGTGGTCAAGTAGGAGATAGTTCACAGGGCATACTGACAGGATTAGACCCAGGCCTACATAGGTCACAACAGCGGCCACTCATCCCCGAAGCATCATCAACAAAATGCCCCCAAACCCCTTTGAGCCTCATCATAGGTCTTTGATAAACAGCAACATTTTTTTTTTTTTTTTTTACATCAAAGAGACAAGCATATGTCTCTTTCTGAATAGACAGGCATTGACTGTAACAATAAGCACTGAAAAAAAAAGTTGCAGTTGGTTGGACTTTCCCCGGTTTTGAGTGAGTCTCTGAGAATCTTTTTTTTTTTCTCTGTTGCAAAACATTCTCTGTACAAAACAAATCAAAATCGCAGCAGAAGTTACTGAGGTGCACAAATAAGGTCCTTTGTGTTCATACCAAGTTTTTCCATACTTAGAGTCCATCTCACTGTCCTGCTACTTCACAACCGATCTGCATTTCAGCCACATCCCAGATCTCAGAGCAGCATGTCTATTGGCTGAAGCAGGAAGAATCACAGGATGGTCGAATAAAGGTGCCATGTGATTGGTTGACACGATACTCCAGAGTGTGTGGCTTTGTCAAGGATGATGAGGACATTGGTCTTTTGTTTTTTTTGTTTGAAAATGATGTATTATGTTTCCAATGGTTCACTGGCATCTGTTACACCGAAAGGTTGGATGTTCGCGGTCTGTGGTTCACTATGAAGTATAGAACCTGTTTTCAGTCTTTAGAGGACAAAGGAGAGAACAAGACAAAGATAAAGAAAGTCAATCCATTCATATGTCTTTCCTTCAACCTCTCCAAACCCCTGAACTGCTGACTGGTGAGAAGGAAGAGAAAAGAGGAGAAGTTTTAACCAATCAGGGATCGGTGGAGATCAGTCCAAGTATTGATCTTTGATCAGGAGCAGTGAGTGGGTCCAGCCCCTCCTCTCTCCTTCACCCCCTACCCTAGACCCCTGTCCCTCCCTCCCTCCCACCCGCCACCTCTTAGGAGCCATATCAAAGCAGCAGGACCTGTAGACAGAGGTGCCCCCCTCTGGCCCTCCATTGTCAGAGGATGATACAGCAGCGGCACAGACGCTGGCCACCTCCATGCACAGAGGGAGGTGGCGTCACTGGGGCAAAGTATGCGTGCACTTTGATATCCGGCAGCTGGGCCTGTGTAATAAAGAGATACATTATGTAGTTTAATCAGAAGTTTACATTCACTCAGTGTGTGTGAAAGTTATTTATATGGTGCTTTTAGCGATGATCAAATTAATATTTTTTTAAGGAGCAACTAAAATGGTACAACAACAAAATTATGTGTTTAAAAAAGAAACATGTGGTGCATCTTTTCTTTTTTGGTAACCTTCTTTATTTCAAATAATTTCTTTATTTAAACCCCCCCATAAATGATAGGTAAAACAATGGTCTTTGGTTTGAAAGCATCACATCATTGGGTGACTGAGATGAAGTACAGAGAGGTTAAAAAGTTTCCCCTTTTAACTTTAATAAACATGTTCGTAAAAAATCTGCACTGTTTTTGCCTAAAAATAATAATAATTAACATAAAACCTATTTTTTTGTACAAAATAAAAATGTATGCAATATTCCATCTCCCCTGGAGAACAATGCATTACACTTATGATCTTTAAACTGTAAAGGAAGCAGAAATATCCAGAGAAAAAGTCTCTGGTTTTGTGTCTGCTCACCCTGATGCGTTTGATGCCGGCCCTGGTGACCTGCTGGCAGTCGTAGAGCTCGATACGTTCCAGACGATGGCAGCTCTTGAGATGCTCCAGGGTGACGTCAGTGATGAGGGGGCAGTTGTCCAGCTCCACCACCGTGAGGCGCTCCTGGCCACAGGTGCTGTTGCTTAGAGCTCTGATGCCGTCATCCGTGATCAGCTCACAATGGGACAGGGACTGTCCATGGAAGAAAGGACAGAGACACAATGATATAGAGCCATGCTAAGAGGGTTCTGGCAAAAATTCCGACTTTATGGGTCTTATGCTTTACCAAAGCTTGCAGCCGTGGGCAGTGGATTGAAAGCTGAGCCAACGTGTTATCGGTCACCTGAAGGGAGGACAGGTTTGATCAGTAAATGTCCTTATATGTCTATACACAGCTTAGAGACTGAGATCTCAATGTGGAGTGATGTGTTGCATTATAATATGTTCCACTGAATCTCACTCTGTCTATCTGTCCTCCACTCAAAAGTTATTCAAAGAGTATGTGACAGGATTACCATGGAAAATACTCTTTTATCCACACAATCAGATCTGTCCTCTTCTTTTATTCTAACCTCTGCTTTTTATAACCCATAAAGGTTATAAAAACTTTTTATATCAATTAAAAAACATTAATATAAAAAACTTGGAAGTCACTTACCAGAATACATTCTTCCAAGTCCATTTTTTCAAGCTCATGACAATTCTGCAAAAAAAAAAAAAAAAGGGAGTTAAATGGATGCTTGGCTGATAGCAATCACAGTATGCATAGGTGGGTTGACTGAGGTAAAAAAAAAAGTATAAATCTGCTGTGAAAAGAAAGGATTCAAATAATTTTCAGCTAAGAGGAGAGAGTAGGGGGAGGAAAAAGCATGAGCAATAGCTCATATGATTTAAATTATAATATAATAGTCCAATTACACCTCATAAAATATGCTTCAGAACATTGGTGTGATCTGATGTGCTATTGGTGGAAAATATGGAGTTCAAATTTTGAGTGGATGGGTTCTTCAAGCTTTACTACCCAAAAACAATGAACACAGGGCTGCACCAAATTGAAGTAATTGCAAAGGGATGTTATTTTCAGTAGAGCCCAGTACTGTTTTAGTACAGAAAGCTCCCTCAGCACTATGCTGTTTTCATTTTCTCCATAGATAAGCTGAAACTAATGATGGAGGCACAGAAACAAAAACGGGAAGAAATCCCATAGATTGTGAGGCACCCATGTACACTGAATCAGAGAGGTGGCTGGGAAAGGAGCTTATTCTTTCAGTACCAATGCGGCACCATTGCCAAATTTTCTGTAATCAATCAATGCTGCAATCTGTGTAGCAACGGTTGTAGAACTCAGAAAGACTACAAGGAGGGAATCTGTAAAGGTTAACAGGTAATAAACAGGTGACAACACCCCCCGCCCCCCAAAAAGAAGAAAAACGGAAAAATACTCACTCTTGCGAGGACTGTGAATCCAGCATCAGTAACATGGGAACATCGCGCCGCCTCAAGGATCCTTATAACACAGAAAACATAAGTTCTAAGAAATAATTGGAGAAGCAGCTCAAATATTTTATGACAGTTTCTGTCTAAACTCACCCAAAATTAATTATCATTTATCTTTTTATGCATTTTGGACTAAAGAAAATGTGTTTCTTACTTAAGTTGTGGACAGTTTAGTCCCAGTGCAGTCAGAGAGGCATCAGTGATGTTACTGCAGCCAGATATGCAGAGGATCTGTAGCTTGTGGCATCCCCTGCACAAGCTGACCAGGCCTTCATCTGTTATTTGCTGGTGGTATCAGACATAATAAATACATTAGAACAGCATTCAGTCAAAAAAAAAAGGTTTCTAATGTGTTTTAATAGTTCATCATTTTCCTGAGGTAATCCTAGCTGTTAGTCTTACTGTGCAGGACTGGATATTGATGGTGGTCAGTTCAGGGCAGTGCTTCTGTAGGTGCTTCAGTGCGCCGTCATCAAGCTGGATTAAAACAGACACATTTTTTAATGGAGACTGATAATGTGTGTATGCAGTGAAAGAGTCTTAAAATATGACATTTCTCATAAAGAGGGAGATTAATCTATAATAGTCTGAAGGTTTGTGCTATAGCTTCGCCAAGTTAGAGGCAAATTAAACATGAGCAAAGGCACAAGAACAAAATGACAGAAACTGTTGGGTTTAGGTCAACATTACATAAAAAAGAATGTATAAAATCTAACATATACACATGACTATTGAGTCCTTATCCTTAAGTGAAACTGAAGTAGTTGTGTGTTTTACCTGCGTGCAGCCTCTGAGGAAAAGTGCTCGCAAAGCAGTGCAACCTCTAGCCAGGGCCTCAATGCCATCTCGAGTGATCTGGTCACACCATGACAGATTTAACATCTCCAGCATTCTGCAGCCATCACTAAACAATGGTCAACATAAAAAAAAAAAAAAAAAATTTTAGCTAAACAGCTTAAGAAAAATTGTGTTTGCATAACATTTAAGTGTGTAGGCCTTTAAGGAGAGGAGGTGAGGTGTTAGAACTAGGTCTAAGACGAAAAATACCTTAGTGCCTTGAGGGAGTGGTTGGTGATGGAGACGCAGGAGGTGAGATCTAACTGTTTGAGCTTGGAGCAAAACTTGCTGAGGCTGAGGCAGGTGCTGTCTGTGATCTTCGTGCAGCCGTTCAGGTTCAGCACTTCGATATTTCTGCAGTTCTGAGCAAATGTCCTAAGAGCCAACACAAAGAAGTGGATAACTAAACCTGAAGCTGCAGTTTGCCAAGATATATGTAGGGAAGAGGGCAAAGACAAAGAAGTGGTGTTCTGGTAGGACCAGTGAAAAATGTAATATTTTGACCCACATGTGAAACTAAATGAGCAAGTAAACTAGAAGTCTACATCATCCCTATTGTGAAACAAGGTAGTGTAAGAGAATCAGTGGCATCACTTAAAGATCAATACTCATAAACAATGTCATGCTAAGCTAAACCATTCAGGAATAAAGATAGGGCAATACATTCAATCTGAGGATGTAAAAAGCTGATAGAAACATGCACTGCAAGACTAGCAGCTATAATTCCTAAGATTAGTAGTTCAACAAAACATCAAGCATGTTGAATAAAAATGTGCACCACACTTTATTTTTTAGAATACAATTTGGAAAATTTACTGGCTTACTTCAACTGCACAATAAAGACATTGACATAAAGCCTCATGAATGTACCTTTAAGGTAGGTTGGTCTATTTCATGAAAAATAAATGAATTATATAACAAAACACAGACTAAGTCTGAAAGATTTTAAGAGGTAGAAACAGGTACTACATCTCTGCTTTTTATAGAATCAATAGCTCCTATTATAAAAGACAGTTTAACAAGAACGGTTGTTTTTTTTGAGTGGGTACAAAGGAAACAAGAATGAAACGCAAATAAATAAGCTCCCTGTAGAACTGTCTGGTATTCAACAAGTACAAGATACTTACACTTTGCAATAACAGAGAAAAAACAGCAAGTAAATGAATTAACAAGAGAGTTATTTTTTTATGAAAAAAAAAGATCAAAGCTGAAGTACACTCATCTAATCAGTGTGTTCCAGAGAGACAATGGGAATCTCACTTCATAGAAGCATCTCCAACGCTCAGGCAGCCCCTGAGGCTAAGCTGCCTCAGGAAACCTCCACAACGCTTCGAAATGTTTTCCACCACCCGGCCCTGAGGGACGCAGGGGCAAACAGAGAGAGGAAGAGAAATGTAAGTGGGTAGCAGGACCGCAGGTCAGCTGAGTTGTCTCAGTCAACATCGCAGCACTGAGCTTTGGGCTGCATAACACTACCCAACAAACGCTCACACATGCCAGTCTCAAACACAAAACTCACTTCTATGTCTGTCTGGAAGTTGAACAAGTCGATCTTCTGCCAGTTGCTGCCATCTAGAGCCAGGACATTCCAGGCCTGAGAAGGACACACCAAAACGGACAGAGAAGTGGGTCAGACAGAGGAAGGCATTTCCTGTAGCATGAGGAGGACTGGTGAAAGTAGAGAACCAGACTTACCGTAAATCCATGGCATTCCTTACCCCTGATCTATATTCCCTTTCCTAATTATTTTTTTGCCAACTTGATAAAAATCTGACATGCCTTGATTACTTTAATGGTCAATTTCACCACCATTGGATCCCAGACAAGTCCAAACCAAATGAAATAAAATGACACACTTCAAAATATGAGAACTATGATATTGAAATGAAACTACACCACAATTAAACTCTAAAGCAATAACATAATATATCTACTTTCATGTATATTTCATTATCAAAATCATTTAAATCTGATTAGTAATAGCTACTGTACATTAAAACAATTATAGAAAATAGCTATATAATCAATAATAAACAGAAGCAACATGATCAAAATATTTTAATACAACATATTAACAACTATAATAATCAAGCCTTTTATTTGTGCTCCACACTAAGCTTTTTTGATTTTGTCTTTTCAGTAAAGGTTTCCTTTTCTTCATGACATCGTGACCTCAGTTGGTTACTTTCTGATGATACCAATGATCACATTGGAGTGTATGACACGTACCACCACTACTCGCTAACTGGAATATAATCATTTAATTTAAGTACTATTGATCATTATTCGTAAAACCAAACAGCGTTTTCCACAGATGAAAGTATTCAGTAATTTTTGTCATACTTTGACAACAATATGATTTCATATGATTTTCTATGAACTACTCATAGCCTACTGTAGGAAATGAGATGATGAAACCCCAATAAATATTATCTTCCTTCCAGTGTGCGGTATAGTAGGGGGCAAAATCAATCACAACCTCAACTGAAACACAAATAATAATAATAAAAAGGAAGTAAGTAGGTATGGAAATGCTATGCTAAGGTATAGAAACACTATCGTTATTCACCCTCACTGCTAGGTTATTTGCACATTTTGATATAAAGAGGAAAAATGCTGAGGAAAAAACACACGTGGGTCTAGAAAAAGGCACAATCCTGATCAGATCAAATCAAAATCAAACCAAATCTTAAATCAAAGCTTAAAATAATAAAGCCATTAGAACCTGGAAAGACTTGACTATCACTTAAATTAAATGACTTAAAGGGTTTCCTCTAATGTTAGAGACCTGCATAACAATTCAAAGGAGAAGATGTTAGAAATCCCAGCTGAGACAGGTTATTGTTGGGTATTATAAAACTATGGTGGCTTATAATGAAAATACAATAAAAACACAATATAACCTTAAGAAAAACAAGAAGTTGTTGAACCTTTAATGTTTTTCCTATATTTCCATGAAATAATAGAATATTTACTTTTATTTACAGTAAACAGCTGTTAAGGATAGGTGTTCATCTTAAAAAAACAAAGATTTTTTTAGGAAGAAAAACTGATGCCAAAACTTTGCAATCTTTGTCTAAATATCTAAATTAAGCAATGAATAATAACCAACCTGTAGCTATCAGTTTACTATAGTGCTGTCATTTTGCTTAAGGCCAGCAGAGGGCACTTTAATCGAAAAACTGAGTATATTCCTGACTGTTTAAAGTGTTCAAAGAAATAATGATTCCAGTGTTTGGAATTAATAGGGGCTGGTAGGTCAGTTTCAAAAACATTTTCAGAGTTTGTGCTTACCTTTGACACCTGTGCACATCTGCAGAGTGTAACTACATCAAGATAGGAGAATATTCTGGAAAAAGAAACAGAAAAAACAGTTGGGGTCTTTAATATCCAAAAACTCACTCATGAAAAAAACTATGATAAAGTTTATTTTATTTAATCAGTGGGATGTTTTCTTCCATAAAAAAAACATAGAATAATAAAATAAAATCTGAGTTTGATATTCAAATTCACTAGTAGCTACAGATGGATTTTTCTTAAAAACAGAGCAGCTAATTCTATGTTCTGACTGTGTCAATGAAATCACAAGAACTGAGCTGATTATTCACTGCTACTAAACAATAAGACTGATGAGTGACTCTGAACAGTCACCCCGAGCTTTTTGTCATATCATCAAAGCAACTGACATCCGAAATCATGTTTCCAAGATAAAATAGGAGAAAAGCTGTTGGATTGGCAGCAGGAGAGCCCCACATCAGGCGGTGTTTGAACTGGGGGCATGTCAGCCACAATGGGCTGCATGCAGCCGGCTACTGGGTCAGCTCAATCCATTAATCTGCCAATGAGTAATCTCTGGCACTCCGACAAGCTCGGCCACAGGCGATATTTGCACATACAAGAGATAGAAATAAGCCAGAATACAGACACCTACTCAGATACCTATATGCTGTCCTGGTTGGCACTAATTACACTGCATGTTCCCACTGACCGTAACTGATGTTAATTAAGGATGTATACAAATGAGAGAGCTGTTAGGTGCCAGGGTTTAAAGTACAACTGGAGCCTTTAAGCCCCAGCAACACTAGCTGCCCATTGTTTCTCTCATTTTAAGTACAGACAGAGGGGCTGAGTGTTCTAATGTGTGTTGGGCTGGGACATGTTCAGACATGTCTGTGGGATCTATACCAGAGTCTTGTTTCACTGAGTTAAACCACACAAGTTGTATATCGGACTGCTTTAAGTTCACAGCCAACCCAGATGTGGGCTTTCACACAAACAACTTCAGTGGAACATGCAAACACAGCCATCAGAGCGGCCAACCATCATCGATCGCTCTTCTAATAACTGGTAAATAGCCATTACAATGACCATTATTAGGCTGTCTGTTCTAATCAAATACAGTCTGGCTTTCTATTAAATGTCAGAGAGGCTTTTTACTACCCACAGTGTCCAGTTATTAAACACAGAAAGGAAAACAATCAATCAGACATACAAAGCAGTAGTGGTTGTCCTAAACTTTCAAAGATGTCTATGATAGTAAACCGAGTCTGCCTGCGTGTAGTTTAAGAGGATTTCAGTGTAAAACCAACTGATCTGTTAAGGCAGTGGAGGTTTGTTATGGACCATTGGAGAACAAACAGCATCAAAAAGACACGTTTTAAAGAAAATAAGGTTAGATAAAACACCATCTAGCTTGAACATTGGAGGCGCTGCTCGATTTGGCATCAGAACATGAAGCACTGATCAGAGGAACTGTCAGGAGACCCATGGGAAATCTGGAGGAGTTGTAGACCCACAGCTCAGGTAGGAGAATATGCTAAACAATGTGATGCATGACCGACTGGGCTCGATTTCCTTAAGTTTGGAAGCTTGGTGATTGGCTGATACTTAGATTTAAAACAGATCTCACTCTACCTCTGAAAATCACTATCAATGCTCCAAGCTTTGCATCTGTGTTTTTACCAATAACATTGAAATAGGCGTCTTATGACCTAAAAAAAATTGACAGCAACACATCGATCACAGTCAGCATTACAACTTCACTATTTATAACTATACAAACGCAAAGGACAGTTTGCACGAGATATTTGAAAGCATCCTACAATTCAAGCATAAGTAATACATTTATGCACTGCATTTACTTAATATGTTCGGGAAGCTGAATGGACTCATAACTGTCTTTACTTTGAAAGGACTAACAAAGAGCAATAGGATCATCATGTAATTATATAAAAGAAAATTTGCAGTAAAATGTGGTTTAAACATAACAGATAAAATTTTTTAGCAATAATGTCACAATTACATATTTTGTTTTATTTCAGGTAGGATTTGAGAAAATGTGAAACAACAGTAGGAATACTTTTGCATCGCTGTGACAATGTATAGTTGAAACAATTGATAGTTGATAGACAGAATTAAAACGCACTGCTCCCCTGGTGCCCCACAATGGCAGCCCACTGCTCCCCAAGGGGATGGGTTAAATGCAGAGGTCAATTTCTCCAATGTGAGATCAATAAAATTCAATTATAAATATCATCATTACAGAGTAAAGATACATTCAGAGGCACAACACTCTGGCATCTTTAATAATTGGCTTTACCACCTCGCTACACAAAAGAAACCTCTAATCTACTGATTTTACAGGAGAAAAAAAACAATCAGTTTGGGTTCTATGAATGCTTTGTTAAATTCTGCCCTTTTTGGTCTATTTTTTTTTTAGACAGGATCTTAAAAGTATAAGATCATCACTGATGGAGAAAAAATAAACACCTGACACTTAAAGCATGGCTAGATAAGAGCCCGTTGCTACAGCAACAGCTCAGACATAAATTTGGGTGCTGCTGGTGGCGAGCATGCTGAGTCAGCGCTTCTGCATAGGAGACCACGAACAGCTCGAACGCTCTCCTCCAGGACCCCTCAGTTCTTTTAGATCACAGCTGTTTTTCACAGTGTACATGCACAGCACACAAAGACAGCCGTTTTTCATGCACCAGCTGAAGAACACAAAAGCAAACCTCAGAAATCAGGCATTTAGCTCTAACTGTGCTTCACCTCACACCTAAACCCTGAACATTGGATACTATATGCTTTCAAAGATGTTTATCACCAGTCGTAATTTCATTGGATTGAAGTTTAGGAGTTTCTTTTTTTGGATCTTTTAGTTTCTTTATGGTGCTAAACGGATTCCACAGACTACAGCACCACAGATCCTCTTTAAAGCATTTTTGTTTTTTAAGAATTTTGAAAATTTGTTCTGACCATAAAATTTACATTTTCTTTAATAATACAGTTTACAGTGAGCTGTTATCAGTCCAATGCAATGTACCGGGAATGTATGGAGGTTCACTGTTTGAAATAAGGTCATATCTTTGAGTTTCCATTATCCTGTCACCAGTGAGGCCTGATCAAACTCCTCTGATCCTCCTGATTTTACAAGTTGATATTTATTTCTTTACAAAAATGAAACAAAAAGCCTGTTTTCTGAATTAAAAAGATAAACTGTAAGGAGAAGAGGAGGGAAGGGAGAAAGATCATTTCTACATAACTAAGAACTTTCCCAGTGTGTCAATCCCAAATGGAAGTGAATATTAATTAAATTCAACAAACAGGACATGCTGAAGCTTCTGTGAAGGCATCTAGAGCTTAGAATTTGCAATGCCAACAGTAACAGATCATAAACTATGAAACTGAGGAGTGGCAGCCTAGTGGTTAGGGCATGGAGCTTGGAATCCTGAGGTTCTGAGGGCCCTGTCACATCTTGCAGATTTAGACGTGTATGCCCAACGTCCGAGTATCTCCTAAAATGCTGGCATACTTTGAACTTTCTATATATTTTTTTCAATTTTGGGCGCATATATAGCGTGTTAATAACGAGTCCAGAACTTATGCCCAACGACAGCCTAACTTATGCATAACGCACAGCACTGTAATGCCCATGAAATGATGCACAGGCCAGTGTCCTGAGGGGAGCAGCGATAAGCCCGGAGGCACCCGGTCTACATAAAAAGATTTGTTTGAGCTGCTGGTTTGTCTTGTCTGCTAGGAAGTTTGTTTGTCTTGGCCGTGGCCGTGAACGCAGGGAGGATTCATCACACTCACCTTCATGTTCTCCCTAGAATGGGGATGAAGTCTGGAGGAGTACTGACTGTTACTTCCTGTGAACCCCCTTTTATACCAAATTGCTGCAAATACCCCTTTAAATAGTAGAAAAGGTCAAATATGGAGGTCCGGAAAAGGTCAAATATGTTGATATGCATTGGAGATAAGTTCTTCATAAATTATGTACAAGTTATGCACACGTTACTCATAGGTTTTGGATAACCTAGACACCACAACTTATGAGTAACTTACAGAGGTGTCAAGTAACGAAGTACAAGTACTTCATTACTGTACTTAAGTACACTTTTTATGTATCTATACTTTACTCCATTAGTTATTTTTCTTCCTACTTCTGACTTCTAATCATTACAGTTTCACACAAGTATCTGTACTTTCTATTCCTTACATTTTTTAAAACAAACGTTACTCGTTACTCTTTGCTTCGGTTTAATGTTTATAAATATCTATTTCACGTCATGTGCTCCATCCAATGCAGATCATTGGTGCCATCCACATCTAGTGAAAACTAGTGTAATTGGATGAGTCATATAACGCAAACACTCATTGGTTAGCTAAAGGAAATCATCAGAAGCAAGCAGGTGTTCTTCAAACTGCAAACGTGAATTGTCTATGCCATGCTACAATATAGGATTCAGAAAAAGATGTCGAGATGTCTGAAAGGTCGGACACAGGCGAGAGCGTATCGGGAGATGGAGACCAACATGACCTCACTCATCCTTGGCCCTATCTCAAAGAATTTTTCAAAATAGCCGAAAAATTTAGCTTTTAATTCATATAGTGGCATCTGGCTGTTTTTTAAAACGTCACTTTATACTTTTATACTTTAAGTAGTTTTTGGAGCAAATACTTTTTCACTTTTACTTGAGTAAAGAGGTCAAGTTGATACTTCAACTTTTACCAGAGTGTTTTTAAACTGCAGTATCTATACTTCTACTTAAGTAACAAATGTGTTTACTTTTGACACCACTGGTAACTTACACTTAACGTATGTCAACAATCGGATAACTTACCTGTAACTTATGCGCCATATATGGCGTACACTGGCAAAATCGAGAAATTTTGAGCATGCTAAAAATTTCCCAACGTACTTGTCTTATGTTGACGCGAGCCAGCGTGTTTCAGCGTGCTCATGACTTATACAAAACTTACTCATAACAGATCTAATGTATGCCCTCGTTTTTGCCAGATTTTTCGTACGTCAGGCATACGATGGTCTAAATCATTGTCTCACTCTGGGTCCCCGAGCAAGACCCTTAAACCCACACTGCTTCACAGGCGCCCCACAATGGCAGCCAACTGCTCCACAAAGGGATGGTTAAATGCACAAGTAAAGATCAATAAATGTCAGTTATTATCATTATTATTTTTTAAATCACAGCAGAGTTTTCTTTTTAATTCAGAAAAACAGAACATCAATATTTATTTAGTAAAAATTATCTCCTTAATTGAAGAAAACAGTTTATTTTTGTAAAAAAATATCATATTTCAGAAAAACAGACAAATGCCTTTTTTTCTTTTTTTTTTTGTTGAATGCAATATACCTCCGTAGTTTCTATCTAATGGTAATTATACATTTAATTGATGTTGTTGCTCAATGTTTATTATTTGCTCCAATAACTCAATATTCATCGCCATAAGCCATTAAAACTTTATTCTTTATTATGACAACTTTATTCTTCTACTCTTATGAAACTGTTTCAAACTACAGTGGAAATACATCGGGGTAAACAAATACCCTCAAAAGATTCAATAACCCAGGATTCCCAAACAAGGATGTACTGCTGTCACAATGAGTCCTCCTCACAGCTGATGTTGTGTAACCATCTCAATATGACACATGTGACAGTGGGTCATGTGTTGTAGCTGGAGAGCGCATGCTATTCTGTGGGTCCAGTAAAAGTGTAATGGTGCTAATGGGAGAGGAGGGGGGGACCTTTAGCAGCTTTGGAGAAGCAGAGGAGCACAGCACTGCGGAATTCCCCACAAGCAAAGACAAACTATTTATAGCACCCTCTCTCACAGAGATATACAGCCCACATAGGCCTCGAGAGTGTTTCACACATGCACACACAATCAAGTGTGGCACAAACACAGAAATACCACCGTGTATCAGATGGGGGTACCTGCAGGGGCGCCTCTTTCCAAGATATAAGCAAGCACTTATGGAGCATACAAATAACCCTGGGAAGATCGGCACGCGCCAGATTTATGGAGCGTGAGAAGCTTGTGTGTTGTAAAATATTGGTCTGTGGGTCACAAGTCTAGCAATTTCAGCCCAAGGGGTTGAAATACATCATACATAAAGAAAAATAAAACAAACATCCATTTCATTAATTTTGCGTCTGAGAGTTTTGCATTACTGCTGTGTTTTCAAGCCTACCTGAGGAGGAGCTCTTTGGGGAGCTTCTTGTTAATTGGGGCTTCATCGCTGTTTGAGAACACCTGCAGAGACACAAGATGAATAACAATAAAAGTTAAGTGTACTGCAAGTTTAACAAGCTGATTAAAAAACGTCAGAGAATCCAGGCACATGATGGGGCAGAAGCCAAGAGCCCCAAACATCAACAGACGTAGAGGCCTACAACTTGTTTACATCAGGCAGCCACAACTGAGCCATCACATCTCTAACGTATGCTAATGAGCACACCAGAGACACATTTGGCTTCTCATGTCCACACCCTGAAAGATTATAATTCAGTCGGCCTGGTCAGGTTGTTGGCATGCTTATCTCAATTAGCCTACTCACTGGATGTCTGGCCATCTGCTGAGTGACACACTCACACACATTCCTAGGTTATTCAAGCCCAATCGTTCTGGCTGAGGCATGAATTCAGAGTGTTCTCAATCGAGCTAGGTCTATGAATTTAGATTAAGGCAAACACCCAGAATCACAGTGCCCCTGCAGGCACATGCACATCCTCTGAGCGACACGCTCAGATCCTAAAGGAGTCAGCGGGTGGATCTAATGTGGAGGACTCCCCGCTGTGTGACATGCAAGCAGGAAAACAAAGGGAAGCAGAGTGATCATGGTGCAGGAGGAATGAGGGTTCCATGCAGGGAGGGGGGGTGGGCATGCAGCCTCTTCGTCATAAAAAAGCAGTGGAGAGGAAAGAGAGGATTAAAAGGGGAAGCAGAGATGAGACAGAAAAAGAAACTGAACTAAAGAGACCAAAAACATTCCGAATCGTTTTATGGTGAAAACCAGAGAGTGAAAAGAAGAACTATGGGACAAACAAGGAAACGAAAGGTTACATTTAAGAGGTCAAAAAGACAAAGGACAGGGGGTTGTCTAGTTTGGTTTAGAAAAATATTAACTAAGCTGGTTTGACTGTTAACAGCTCTACTATGATAAAAACAAAACCTGCAAAGATACTGCAATTATCTAAGCACATTCAAGGCATTTCATCACAACTCACACTTCTGCAGCTTCATGTTTCTAAAATGCATCTTTACACAGACTACAAGCACCAACCACTGCAGTGTGCCAATATTAAGCTTCTAGAAAACTTCTAGCTCCTACCTGATGGAGGATTTCCATCAACAAGTTACCTCTAAATATAAGCAGGAGCTACCAATTGCCTCCATAGGTCACATATTAAGTAAACAGGGTATGATTGTGTGTCATTGTACCAACATGTATCACGCAATCAGTGACTGAATGTACAGACATAAATAGTCATATAAATAAATACGGTTTCTAGTTTCATATTCTTATTTTTGAAAAAGGGCTATAAAAATGGAAACACATCATGTACTTCTTAACAATCACTTCTGTTCCACCTCATACTGTATATCCAGGGTCAGATAAAGGTTATACACATTCTAAACCCCACATAGCAGCAAACTGCTGCCATTACAATTGTTTGTTTAGATGAAGTATGCATGAATAGGCATTATGCGGCAAAACAGTCCAAATACTCCTGTGGAGTATTTTATATGGATCATCTGAAAATTAAAAAAGTAGAACAAATGCTTAGGCTATCCATTGACAGTTTGAGCATTGAAGGTATGAATTAAAGAACTAAGACACACGTGGTAACTCCCTAATGGTAATCCTTAATAATCAGACCTTTATCAAATAGTTAAAAGAGGAAAGCAGTTTTTAAAAAGTTAACTTTCAGAAGACGCACTCACACGTTAAACCTTGCATGTAAAATAGGGTGTGGTGGAAAACAACCAGGGCACATCACCTTAGCTAAAACTGCTTCCATTCTATTTAAAATATATCTACTTGCTTTTGCTGGCCTTTTTAAAGAAAAATATAAACAAAACACCTTGAGCTTTGTGATAAGAATGGAAAACATTTTGAAAGATATATCATTTTGCAGATATCTTTTACACTGCGTCTAGAAATGGTTTTAAACAGCCTAACTTTTGTCACATTTTGACATGAAAACCACCATCGGACAAAACAGCTCTTTGCAAACGACTTAGATCTTAAATCTCAAAAAGCAGTGAACACACCAAAATGCTTTTTTAATGGAGTTCTTCAGCAAAAAAAAGTCAAATGAAAATGGGCTATGAAAAGTCTCCATAATGAGATTCAGAGGATGATAGTGAAAAAGGAGCCTCTTCTCTCTGCAGTTCTCCACTGTCCAATTTTTATGACACAGTGGAAAGAGGAAAGTCATAACATTGATTAAAAGTTTCATGACAGCCTGCTGAGAAAGAGAGAACTGACTCCTGATCAACGCTTAGCACCTTTAGGAGCAGACACCACATTCTCAGATTGAACTGTGTGATCTTGATCCATCCAGCACCTACAGAGGAAACATGGAGCTGAAAATAACCTTATTACTGTCCTCAAAGTCTGAAACGGTGATGACAGTATGCTGCGGGGGAGATAAGTTTTCTGTGGCAGGTAATCTTTAAATGGTCAGAAGAAAAAAAAAAAGAGAATGGGGAGAAAATTTCTAAGGAACAAGCTTAAGATCTCAGGCTGGGGGTAAGGTTATAAAACAAATAAGCAGCCATAAGTGATCCAGCCTTACTCTGGAACATCACTGGAGGAAGGTGTAAAAAGACGAGCAGTAGCGCATCAAATCCAGAAATATTTTAGGATCCAGAGAAGAACTGAAGTTGAACACTTGTTTTATCTCAGAGAAAGTTGGGTGAAATAATGATTAGAAACTACTAACTAGGACTAGATACTTGGTTTCATTTTTTTTTCATGTTATGAAATGTAAAAAAAAGTTGAAGGAAAAAAAATTGCACAGAATGAAGAAAGTTATGAATCCCTCAACAGGGAAAATCTTTACGTCCACCTGGTTAACACATTCCCGCTTCTTTGACATAAACTTATGAACTAAAACTTTAATACACTTTAGTTGTTTTGTTCAGAACTGATTTGCCACAAATATCATTTGAAGAACACTAAACAAAAACAAAAAATGTAATTTACATCCAAAATATCCAGTAAAGACGCCTCAATCATACACAGATTCAAATTAAACGGAATCAACTGCATCATCGATATAAAATATCCAGGTGAAGTTTAGTTTATTTTTTCCAAATGTTAAAAACTTTTCCATTTATGGAAATACAGCCGAATGCATTGCCACTGGCTTTGCAGAGAACCTATCATATTGAGCATGCAAGCTGCAGCAGTAGCAATAAAAAAAGCTACATGAACCTTCTTTTAGCATCCTTTCGTTTGTTCATAACAGCAAAGCAGAATCCAAAACCATGGAGATGGTATCTCTGTTCCTACAAAGGCTGCAGCAGTGTAAACAACCGTTTAACTTGGGCCACCTGAAAATGTTTTAAAAATAATAAAGTTGCATTGTGTCCTGCCTTCTTAATCAAACCAGCTACAAGATGTCTCAGGCATCTAGTAGTCAGAGAGCTGGCCTGCTCTTTCCTAACCAGCCCACATTTCTATTTTCCACCACACACTGGTTTTTCATGTAAGAACACCAACACCGTGTGTTCTGATTCACTGGCATTGAGCATGTGAGCACACCCGGCTGATAAAGTCAAGTACCATCAAGTCAAACCCTGAAGAATCTCAGCAATGTGTGAACCCCACCTCAGATAAAGCTGTGCTCACCGCCAGTCAGACGCGGCATCATAAAGACTGAACGCCATGTGGAGTCAAAAGCTGAGAGGGAACATGTTTCATAAGAAGACTGAAAGCTTGCATTTTGTTCTACTTCCCTGTTACACTGGATTTTGTGTAGGTGAATTGAAAACATCCAGTGTGTCGAATGGAGCGTGTCATGGGGTCTGCATCCCTCAAGTCTGTAGCGCTGTATTTAACTAACCAGTTTGTAGATCAGTCTGAAGACACTGCTCCACTTCATGCAGACACGTGCTTGGCTGTGACTGGCTCTCTGTCACGCAGTATTTACAACGGAGAGTGTAACATACTCAGCAAAGATCAATGCTGAGCACCAATACACTTTCAATAACAAGCCTTTCTTGTGGAGCTAGCTGCTGGGTCAGATAGCCCATTATAACACCACTTGTGTTACTCTGATATACACGATGTTCACTCACCATCCATATAATTCAAATCAGGTGTTCCAATCACTTTCAGAGCTACAGGTAAACAAAAACAAGCACCTTGACTGTCCCTACAAACATTTGGAAAGGCTACATACCACCTAACTTCATTTAGCCTTAAGATTAGCACACAAAGAATTCAAAGAAATGTTTTGTGGAATGAGTTTTTAAGACCAAGCAGCTGGATCCAAGGCCTCCATCACCAAGTGTAATGCCACAACTTGCATGCTGTGGCTTAAAGCGAGCTCTAGAAGAGTGGAGATGTGTTCATTAGTCCTGTATAGTGAGGTAAAGTTAAAAAAGGTCCAAGGGCCCCTGACTGACTAACTGGGGTAGTAAATATTGGCTCCATAAAGACGTGGATGAGAGAGCTTGGTGCAAATAAGCCAAGAGCCCTGATCTCAACCCACTAGAACACCCAGACAGAACAGAGTTGTGGAGATAGGAGAGTTCTGAAAGCTACATTGGCGACAATGGGCCACATTTCAAAGGGCAACGGTGACGTACAGAGCTCTAAGTTCAAGGAAAGTTAGCCCTTCATGCTAACATTGCCATAAGCATTAGCAGAGCAAGGCAGCCGATAGATCTATGGTTTTATGTTTTGGAAAGACAACGTGGCTCACCAACCAATTTAAGTTAGATTGCTTTACCCTTAAATTAGCTTGAGTAGCTTTAACAGGCATTTAAATCTATAGAAAAAGGATTATTGAGAAATATACAGAAGCATATGAGAAAAAACAAGGCGGCATACGGGAAGAGGCTGGGAAGCAAGCTCCAGAAGAACAATATAAGCGATGTGTGGTCAGGGATGAGGAAAATCACAGGCTTTAAGAAGAAGGATGATCAGGCAAATGAAAATCTGGATGGAGGCAATGAACTGAATACATTCTTTAATAGATCCATTTCAGGAACAGGCTTAGCATCTTTCTCTCTTGCCCACAGTCAAATGGACATCTCATCCACCTTTGACCCAAAGCTTCCCTCACACCTCAAATGTTTCATCTTCCACATCTGCCAAGGGCCCTCCTGCTTCTACGAGTTTGATCTCAGCCAAATCGCAACATGGCGCTGCTCCCTCCACCTTTCACCCGTCTGCCTCAAAGAGTCAAATAAAGAGGCAACTGAATCGTAATAAGTCAGCAGGTCCTGATGGTGTCAGCCCCGGAGTCCTGAAGGCCTGTTTGTTTGTTCGATCGCCACAGCCTCCACTCTAGGTTCCTGAGGAAGCATTTAAGACGGCACTATCCATGTAGTAGCCTGTTATGTCTGATCCATGTTCTCCTTTAATGGGGGAGTGTTGGCCTAGTGGGTTAGAGCAGTGCGCTTGTGCTCTGAGACGGTTACAAGAGCAGCCCACTGCTCCCCAAAGGGGATAGGTTAAATGCACAGAATTCATTTCTCCATTGTGAGATCAATAAAGTTTAAATTCTATCTTTGCTATTTCTTTGCTTCATGCTGTTGAATTGAAGCTGAAGATGCCATCATACACCTGCTGAAACAAACCTACTGTCATTTAGACAAAGTGGCACCGTGTGGAAACAATCCTCTGATCCTGAATGTGAACAAAACAAGGGAGATGACTGTAGATTTCAGAAGAAACCGAACATTTAAAATCCTATTAACATTATGAGAGAAAAGGCTGAAGTGGGTGGAGGAGTATAATCACCTTGGTGCTCAACTGGATAACAAACTCAACAGGAGACTCAACTGCCGCTGTCTACAAGAAGGAACACAGCAGACCACACTTTCTAAGGAAGCTTAGGTCCTTCGGCGTTTGCAACAAGATGCTATGCATCTTCCATCAGTCCTGTGGAAAGTGCATGCATGCTTGTTTTAAAAATGCCCTTAGGTATGATTGAAAGTGCATAGTAGATTATCTGATGTTGCCCAGCTAATGGCTGCTGTAGAGAGGTATCAGATCAAACAACTCCAAGTTGTTAGGATAATTATCATTGAAGATGTGTGAGTTCATCACACCCTGGTATGGGCTGCCTGTTGCGCGTCAGAACTGACGTTTTAATCTAATAAGAACAATTCCTCTGTCTGGATATACAGTTATAATCTTTATTTTGTACGTGGCAAAGATTTAGAAAGGGAATGAGAGCGGCGTCCTTTTTCGATAAGGCTGGAGCCTTGGATGTTTAATCATCTGCTAACTTGTATGATGTAAAATATGATGATATGGCAGACTGGAGATGTATAAAACGCTCTTTTAACTGTTAATCGGGGCCACTTCCTGAGAGGTGAGCAGCTGCCATTCTGTAACCATAAGCTTTTTCTCTGATCAGAGTAAGATTACAATTTCTATCAGAATCTGTTGTCATGTCCCCTGGTTATTTAATACATACAAGTTATGAAATGTTATTTAAAGAGTTTGTCCCAGGTGATCTCTTTTCAGGAAAAAGAACCGGAGAGATAGAGCATCATGGTGCATACACTGATCTTTAACTATTTGCTTCAATGTAATTCTAAATAACAGGTTGAGTTTTTAGTCATAATTCTGAAGTCTTTAGGTTTTAATTATGTCAAAAGTGAAGAGCTCATGGGGCCCCCTGCTGACCCTGGGGATAAGAGAGAGCAGCTCAGTTTACTAATGCCCTCAGCAGGCTCTGTCCCTCATGACATGTATGTATTTTCTGATGGGGGGGTGAGGTTTATCCTGCCCAATCAGGGTGAGATCTACATGGAGGCTGCAGCTCACAGCAGACAGAAGTGTAACTACAGGGGACAGAGCCTGATATATTGACAGTAGAGCCAGCCACAGCCCCGCTGTCTGTCCCGCAGTCCCCATTGCTCCTTCTGCTGCTGCGGGAGGACAACAACAGGATTACCCTTGACCAACAAAACGCCTCAGCTCATGACTGCGTGTACAAATTAGGAGCAAAGCCCCACGCACACGCTCACACACACACACAATCCCAACACAGTTTGCTTATACAAGCCTCCCTGCTGGAGACAAACAGTTTAACCGTTGGTGGTCCATTTCCCTCCCTGTGTCATTACCTCAAACCGGCTCTTGCTGATACCGTTCATGTCTGCGTCGGTACCTTCCTGCTTACAGACGGAACCAACGGAATCCGCTTTTCGGGCTGATTTTTTTTGGTCGCCGTTTTATTTTTGGGAGCGTAGGAGCCGAGCTGAAGCTGGGTCTTCACCTCCTCCTCCTCCTCCTCCTCCTCTCCCCCCCAGCCGCCAGCGAGGCTCCTGTCTCCGGGTCAGTGAGGTGGTGGTAGCAAGGTGTGGTGCGGGTCCGGAGAGGCCTGCTGTGCCGTGAAAGCTCGCTGTCTCCGAGAGCAAACGGCTCCCCAGCTCGTCTCATCACAGGGTTACCAAAATAACAATAATAACATGGACGGTTCTGTCAAATGATTTCACTTCCGCCTCTCCCTTCATTATCGAACACCAGAACGAGCCAGCTGCAGGAACTGAAAACCCTTTAAAAAACTAAAAAACAACACGCGCATTATGCGACGGGTAAAACATGTAAACCTTATCGCAAATTTCTCATTTCAAGCTCTTGTTACGGCGGCTGCCGCACGAGCGCTTTCCTCGCTCGTTTTCTGTTTACTTGGAGAGACGGGGAAGGGGAGGGGCCAAATTACGTCATTGCTGCGGGAAAAGCACGCGTGGTCGATTTGTTTTGATTGTGAGGTCTTCTTTAGTGGGGGGGCAGAATGAAATTATTCACTGCAAGGAAGGAGAAAGTTTTCGCCAATGTTGAGGCCTAAACTGTTTATGGCGGGTTCTCCATTTGGTTATGATATATATATATATATATATTTTTTTTTTTTTAGAAATATTTTGATTTGTTCTACTTCGTCAAAATATATTGCTTAATCTAAACTATATTTCATATACTTAACAATCAGTTAAGTATATGAAATATATACTTGACTAGTATAGTCAAGTGTACTTGACTGTACTATTGTTTAAAAATGTACCAATTTAGTTCGAAGAAGTATTACATTATACTACAAGTTACAAGTTACACTAAGTATTACAATACTTCAAGTACACTAAAAGTACATTGTTCGGTATACTTTCTAAACTTATATTTATACTTAAGTATTCTTAATAGAATTTACTTCAAGTATTCTACTTTTTGCTAAAGGTTTGCAAAACGTTAACTTGACATCTATCTTGTTACCCTTCCTTTCATGTCGCTCACCTGTCAAATTACTACTAATGTGGTTACAAGTATACAAAGGTTTAAAAGAAAAGTTACAGTATGTGGTGTTCGGTGGAAATGAGAGGGGTCTCAATGGACATGTTTTCTTATTAATACTAAATAAAATACCATACTTGGCTGCAAGGTGGAGCAATTATTTGCTCTGTTGTCTTACAGCAAAAAGGTATTAGGTTTAATTTCCGACCCATAGTCTTTCTGCATGGTGTTAGCTGGTTCTCCCCATTCATACATAGGTGCTCTCCTGGTATTCTGGTTTCCTCCAGCAGTCCGAAAACATGACTGTTAGGTTAATTGGCATTTCTAAATTGCTTTAGAGTGATTCAGTGTGCATGGTTGTATGTCTTTGTGTTGCTTTGCAATGGAGTGGCAACTTCTCCAGGCTGTAACCTGCCTAGAAATAGGCACCAACTTCACCGCCATCCTGAAATATGAAGCAGCAGAAGAGTGATTGATTTCTGTGCAATTTGTCGTTAAAGTTACTGTTGAATCAAATTTAATTCCCCTGTTATGAGTGACTGAGAGTCCAAAATGTAACAAATGACATATAACAAAAACACTCAATATAAAACTGTATTTTATATAACATAAATAGTTATCAATCTATAATACATTTTGTGTAAATTTGTCTCAATGTATGACATGAATAAAAAATTTAAAAAATAAATTTTTCTTATTTCTGCCTGTGACACCTGATCTTTGACTGTTGGAGAAATACCCATTCCTGAAAAAAAGGCAAAAAGATCAGTCACTGCAGTTTAAATAAAAAATTAATCCCAGATTGAAGATGTTCTTTTTTTTCTTTTTTTTTTCTTCGAAACAATCAAAACACAGCAGCACTGTGCAGAAAGTTGAAGTTGATTTGGAAATAGCATGCTCACCTAATCAATGCCTTTAGTTTTTGGCAGTTCTAAAGACATAAAAAAAACAACTAAATGACTGGATTTAATCTATTTTGGAGTTAATATTATAATCGAATTCTGGACTTTTTCATTTCAATTTCACTTGTTTTGCTGAGGTTTGATGTGATATACAGTAATAACAATAAGTGAAAGTGAAAGTAATACATAAAAAAGTGAAAGTACTATGCTTTAGGTTTTCTTTTTTGTAAAACTATGGGGTTGGGGAATATATCAAATCTGTTAGTTGTGTACGCCACAAGTCTGGGCAAGGTGAAAGACAGAAGAAGAATTACCATATAAAGTTGTAATGCTTTGTGTATGAGATCCAGCAAAAGTAAAAGGCATCTGCTAAGATAAGACCACATCAGGCTCTATGGGCTGAGTGTGCAACATCATGTATGGAGGCAGATCACAATGCGCCCCCATGATGACACATGCTGGCACTATCATGCTGCAATTATGATTATCTTTCACAAGGACAAAGAAGTTAGTTGAACAGAGGAATTTAAGAATGCTTTTTTACTTATAGCAGGACAATGACCCTAAACATACAGCCAGATAAAATATATTGGTTTTGATCATAAATGGGTTTCGGCATGTGAGTCCAACTTTTTAAGTTTTTAAAAATAGATATCATCAAAAATAAATGTACTCTCCACATGATCTTATATTAGTTATTTAACAGAGAACATTTCAGCTATGCAAAGCTTGCTGAGTAACAGTGTACAGAGTTAAGGAGACGAATAATAAAAACAATAATATTATAGTTTATGACTTTTGAAAGGTACTTTTTTTAAATCATACACACACCGAGAAAGTAGCTAACAGCTGTCAATGTGCCCTGAAAAATTGAAATATCTTCAAATTTAGAATTTAAATGGCAAAATAAATACTGAGAATTAAGTTTTTTACATGACTACGAACATTGACGTCCATGTATGGTTTATACTAGAGGAATAATCTTGGATGAAGCAATAACTGGAAAACAAATGGAGGAAGTAAAAAACAGACTGTTGACATAGATTTATTAGGCCTAAGTAAACTTGCAGTATATTATATATACTGTCTTGTAGCGTACTTTAGAAATCTATATCATACATCATTATTTGAATTACTAGTTTATTTTTGTTGTATTCACTCGTCACTGATTGTTTTACATAAAAATGGTTCGTTTACGAATGTATTTCTACTTTCTAAATCCCAGTTAGTTAAAACAGGGTCTGAAAAATAATCTAGCGAAATACTTTCTTTATTTCCCACTAAGTTAAAAGCTGTATTATTACTATTCCTGACCCAATTTCTCATCATTTCAACAATATAATAAAGTAAATAAAGGGGATTATTATTAATCAACTGTGTTTTATGGATCTAAAAGCCAATAAAGTCAACCAACTGTCATATGTTCTCCAACTCTAAAACTAGAGGGCGCTCTAACATAACTAGCTGCTTGACAGGCTAGTACAGTTTGAGCTGAGAAAATGTATTTTGACTATTTTAATGCAAGAATAACTTTTAGGCAAATATACTCAAAGATGTAGAAAGTAAACCACACTTTTTGAATTGTTCACATTTTTCTGAGTTATATAATTTTGCATAGACTATTAAACTAACATTAAATAACCCAAGTAGTATTCTGATTAGATTGGGAATGTGGGTCTTAAGTGATTTTAACAATGAGCCATTGTTACCTGTATATTTGATAAAGATAACAGCATCTGATTTTCTTGGTTTGTTTTGTTTTGGGTGCAGTGGATTTGTTTGGGGTGTGGTTTCTTTGGTAGGCCTCATCTTGATTTCTTTTTTGTAAAAAGGTAAATTGATTTCATTTTACAACTTTTTTTTTCTTAACTCTTCCTAAAAGGGAAATGCATGAAATAAAGAGGTGAATTATGAAAGTTCATTTTGAAATACTCACCTTTGCCATTTCCCTCTCCAAGCAGCTGTGCACAGGACTGCACCATTGGAGAATTTGGAAGGGGGGGCGTGGGTATTTGAGTATTGTTTGGAACTTAAGTAAAATAATTCTGCTTTGTCTTTATTGGTAAATGTTTTTCTTCATTAGCTGCTTATATAAAACAAATCTTGTGTTATTTTGCAGCTGTATATAATCTTATATTAGTTTCTTAAGATTTTGTTCCACCTCTACTCAAGAAACATGTCTGCCTCTGTTCTATAGTTAGTGTTGTTTGGTTGATGTGCTACACCAGAAACAATTAAAGAAGTGTCCTTTTCAAACGGTTTGGGTCCCACCTCCAAGACCGCTCAGCCTCCTGAGCATGTAACAGTGATAATACACGAAAGTTCCATGCAACATTTCAACTTCAACAAAACACCTTAATCATGTACACTGCGGTTTTCATGGAGATTAAATTTGCAATGCACAACAGGGATTTATTCTATTTATTTATTTTACCACATAAAGCCAACAATTTTTAAATGTCGCCAACCTTTAATACTAATTGAAAACAACCCTCATGAGCGTTACAAACCCTCTTCGTTTAGCTGTCACATTTGAAAATCTCTCCTCCGTTTGCTTTATCAAATGAAACTAATAACATAGATTAAAAAAGATATTTCCATATTTTTTATTGTGTCTCTGCAACACTCTGTAAATCAAATAAGATCAAACTCATTTTAAACGCTTAGAAACGCTTGCATATTTAAGAATGTACAATAATATGATCACAATAATGCAGGAACAGAAGAAAAAACAAGACAAGTATATTGAAAATTAGACATAAATTAGATTAACTGAAGATACTGAACAAATAAGAACACAGGGTTGATTAAAAAAAGAACTCAGTCATAAATAATGTGTAGAGCACTAACTAAAAAACATGTGACATTGCAGTGACAAAAAGACACATAGCAACTAAACACAGAACCAAACATTTACCAAAATGATGGATAAAAATATGCTAATTGGCCACAGAAAGAAGCATAACAACCATACTATAGCAGGAGTTAAAAATAAACTAAGACCCCCCCTTAAACAGATTACAAATTTGATATTTTCCTACAATAACTGGACAATAACAGGAATGACAACCCATGTAAAAACATTAAACTGCATCAAAGAACTACATTAATTTAATGTTTAAGTGAAACAGTTTGTCCTTTAAAATACTGCAGCAAACCAACGCAATATCTGAAAAATACACAATAGATGATCAAGCTTGAAAAATTCAGTTTAGGCAACTGGGTGTGAAGTTTTCTAAAAGTCGTTACACCTCTTATCCAAACAGCTTCTTCAGTTATAACTGGCGGGGGGGAGCACTGGAATTAATATACTGTAATTTTAACAAAAGAATTAGGGGAAAACAAAAGGAGGCTCTTATCCCTCCCACTGGATGGGCCATAGAGGCCCCCTAGGGTTTTTTAATGGTCGTTTGGTCACATGCCTCATTGAAGTGTGAGTCAGGTGACGGTGGGTGAGAGGTGAATCTTCTGGGTATTGTTCCTAAAAGTGCTTGTTAAGTAGGTGACATGTTATATCT